AGATGACATATGGACAGTTCGATGTATTTATTTACCTACTTTTATGAAAACTAATTATTTAAGATGTTGCTTGTTTGTTTCTGAACAGACAGGCTGTACAGCCTTTTGTTTGTTTTGTATATATGTGCCATACTAATGCATGAGAAGTGAAATAATTCGGACAAAAACATTTCTCCCTCCGAATCAATTTTATTTTTACACAATTTTTACAACTCTTAACTTAAATTTTAATTATTTTTAGTACTGAAAATTACAAGCAGACATTTAATTTACAATGATTTCCTCGCATATATTCTTAACATTGTTAACTTATAACTGAAAGCTGAAACACGGAATAATATTTGAAGCACATTTCATTGCGCAGGTTGCCTTGCAGCCAAACATATATAAAAATGTGGAAACAGTTATTACTGCAGTTGTCAGAACTGATACACACTCTGTTCTGCTCCGCAAAATATTGGAATTCATACATCATATTTGTAGTTACCATGCACATTATTGATATTTTAGATCTCAAGTGATTCTTCTTTCGCCTTGAGATAAGAAAACCTTTCTTTTCTTTCTTCACTTCTATGATTTACAAATAGGAGAATGATAATTCATTATCACTTTGATAAAGAAATGATTTTGTAAAGGAAGAATTTGCTCTTATCAAGAAGAAAAAATTCTTTATTAAATTCTGACATAACTTTTCAAAGCATAAATTATGTTTTTTTTATAATGTTTGCCTGTTTAAAAATATATCAATGTTTCAGAAACTAATGTATTCGTTTTCTTCGGTCATGCTAGCGATATTTTACTAAAATAGCTTATTAAATAACAACTGGTATATTGTAGAGAGAGTAAAATTTTGGTTATAAGAATTAATGTATTACGTTAAGTGAAAATTATTTTATAGATAATTTTTCCTAGTCTTTCGGTGTAATTACTACACAGATGAAACTTTGCAGAACTATGTGTATTCCTTATAATAATATAAGATAAACAGGCATTTAAACTGATGCTAAAATCATCACAAAAATCAAAAGATGAAAGTTTATAAGCTCTGCTCAATATTGGTACAGATTTCATTGCTCTAATTTAGAGATCCAAGACCTGTATATTGGTTGTGATGGGGTAGCTAAAACGTTTGAATAAATGAGTGATTAAGGTTATTCTTTTTTGTTCTCATGGCTTATGTTTGAGTGTTGAATTATGGTTCAGCACTTCCTTCATGTAGTCACCATTAACATTCATTGCCACTATATATCATTCTAATCATGTTTTCAGAACTAAACTTTTGACTTATGCTTAATTACTCATTCTAATAAAAATGTTTAATGAAGAGCTTCCTTTTATTTTAATGAGCTGTTTTAATTTATATTTTGTTTTATTTATTTTTTTGGTTTTAAATTTACATTGTCTAACCATCTAAGCAACAGAAACGGAACAGAACACAATCATTTTAATCATGATTCTAATCATCATTATAGCTGGAATTTAAAGATCATTCACAACTGTTGTTATTTGTGACTACTATAAACTGTGAATTTAAGTTGTAAAATTTGGGTAGGTTCAAATAGAGGTTCAAGGATCAGAATAATACAATTAAGGGAAAGCTCATTGAATAGCGCAAGGATATGTTAAATTGGTGTTAAATAGGCTCATTGCTTATTTAACAATGAGTTTCATATTGAGACTGATTTATTCCTGAAGTTTACGGAATTTGCAGATTTATGTACCAGCAAAGTGAAGTAGAAATGAGAACTCATATTACATACAATAAATAATTCTTAACATTTCACTTTTAAGTTATAAAAGCTCTTACAATCCAATTAAAATAATTAGTTTTTACTAATTTTCTCTTGACCTTTTAAATTTTCTTCTTTTATCACATTTTAAAATGTCTATTGATTTCCTTAAGGTGATTTTCTGAATCGGGAGGTTGAATTATTTTGCCTACTTAACTTCTTCGTGTCTAGATATTCGCCTAAGATACAAGCGACTTCACTTTAGAAGTCTTTCTCGTTTACGGACATCGAATCAAAGATTACACTTCTTACACAACAAAGCACAGAAACAACAAAGCAAAAACATTTCAGAAAACTTTCACTATTAAAAATCTTCATATCCGACTAACATCTAAGCACATCAATTTGTCACAGTTTGCACACTACATTTAAATCACAACTCTATTACACACTCAACAGTAACGTGACTGATTTTAATGATTAATTAACAGTATTTAAAACTTGTAAAGGCTGAAGGTTTCAAAATTATTTTTATAAATAAAAGCTCTTTTAAGTAATCATAAGGACATGAAAGAAAATTTAATAAAAAAGGCCATAAAGTGTACTTGTGAAGGTAGTTAACACTCTTTTGAATAACTGCATCATCAAATAATAGCTTCTAGTATAGGAATAGCAAAATTTCGAATGAATGTTTTATTTAATTTTTATGAATTCTCTATTTCATGTGTATAATAAAGTTTTAACACTACTGAAGTAATCCAAACGCTGCAAGAATTTTGAACTTTGTTATATAAATTTCTCAAATTCAGGAGCTTCAAATGTGACACCTTATTATAATAAAACAATATGTTTCTTCTTATCGACCTCTGAGTCTTTAATTTACATAAAACTAATCTTACTTTTATTTTCTACGTAATTAAGAGCATTCATACTTATTTCTCCTAGAAATTTCATCTCCATATGCTCATTCCACTGCTTCAAGCTTCTGATTTCCAAAATATTTCAGACAGCAATGAGATTAACTATTGTTTTGATCAATAATAGGTTATTTCACAGAGTATTAGCACATCATTTGTCAACTATAAAGTAATCATCTCAGTGGCGAATATATTTAAATCTCAGATTGCAAATACTGTCATTCTGCAGCTTCCCCCAGATGCGTCAAATTTTTAACTACTAACATTGAATATTAAAGAAGATTCATGGTTACTGTAAGGGAAATTATTGACTAGGATAAGGATTTTAATAAAGGTACAATAAATGCGAAACTAATATGCGGGAGAAAATTTGGTTCTTTTAGTAATTTTTATACTGAGTAAATTATTTGCAGTAATTTGAAGCACGTCTATTATTATGATATCGAGAAGTATCTTAATGGGGTGAGGTGCAATAACACTGAAACGCTTACTTGTCATAAGTGGTGTCATGGTAATGTAATCCACAGAATATTTATAATACTTACTCCAGTTGAAAAAATTAGAAAAACTCTTTCATCTACGTATGGTATTAAAAAATGTACTCTTTCAAAACAGTACACAAGGTAATCCAGCAGGCAGGATGCATTTAAAGCATATGCCTTTTGGTGAATTTATAGTGTATGCTAACGCGTTTAGCACAAAAATATATAAAATGTTTGGTATTTTGATTTAAAAACAATTTCGTTATTCAAATTTTTTCGTTATCATTATATCCGGCAGGTGTTGCTTTGCCTTGGAATCCTGCATATATTAGCTCTATTTCCAAGCTATCTCCATCAGAGGTCAGAATAATACTAATCTGTTATGTAAGAACTTAATTCTTAACTTTGAAGACAGGCAAGCAATGAACATTCGTGCAGGATAGAACATCGCCTCATATTTTTCTCTTATTCTCTACTTTGGTGAAAATGGAATAATAAACCTTCAATTACAGTCATACTTCCGGACCTGAAACCCTATGAACTTGGTTATGTGTCTACTTTTAGTCTTAGACAGAGATCGGTGAAGATCGCTAGCATTTTGAAAGCTATTTTTCTATAGTATGCACCTATCTCCTCTAGGAAATGCTGTTTTTCCAGAGAATATAACGACTTAGTTTGCCTTTAGGCAGAACTTAGTAATTATGATTGCCCATTTCAGCAATTACTATGAAATATTGTCTGTTCTTTTACTGTACCCTGATGGATAAAACTGTAATTTAAAAACTTGCGTGGTAAAATTCCTTAGCCCCACCCCTCCGTGATTTAATACATTTTTTGAAATTTATTACAATTCACATAATTTAACCGTTTATTGGCATTTGGATTACTTTGTATACGCATCATTTTAAATAAGAACTTATTAGAAAAAAATTTATAATCAATCTGAAATTTAATAATGGTGTGAGTCAACACAGTTGTACCTCGATGTAATCTGGGTTTCTCCAGATTGAAATAAAAGCGAATAAAGATTGAATTTTGCAATTATGAATCTATTCCCGGAGTCTCGGTGAATAACATTTGTCCCCTGTCAGTGACTGTAACTTGAGATAGTTTGATCCATTTGGGGGGGGGAATTAGAAATTAACAGCATAAGGCAATCAAGAACTAAATAAACCGTTTCCGTGATGTTTTTATGTTAGTCAGGAGCTCTAGCTAGAAGATAAACTAATTTCTATTATATGTAGGAAAAGGATAAAAAAATTATTACTAAATAGCTTTTTGAAAAATAATAACTGATACAATGCTAATAGATAATAAGAAATTTTATATACTAATCTTAAGATTGTCATCTGTTTTTTTAGTTCGGCGCTGAACTGATTTTAACATTCTACAAATGTATAAAATCTTTAAAAAAATTAATTAATTTATTAAAACCCTATAAGAACTTTCTACGGCTTGCAATTTTGCAATAAATTTATAAAGAAATGTGCTAAGATAATTAATAGAAATAGAATTTTGATCCTGGGAATTTAGTTTAGGGTCGAGAAGATTTTCACCGAATGAGCGTATAATGGTTAAATAAAAACCATTTGTTTTGCAAGACAACTGGCATAAATAATATTTAAAATAAAATGCTTTTTAATCTACTGTGCGTTTTACTTTCTGTGATATTAACTGCTATGGTTTTCACGAATACAAATCATGCAATATATTTTTTTTCCTGGGTAAAATATGTTTAACAATTCATACAATTTACTTCTAAAAATATAAAATTTTGCGAATTTATTTTGAGACGTGTTTATTTCTTTCAATTTCAACAAACTGAACATATTTTTTTTGTACTGAATAGTTATTTTAATAGATTAAAATTATACTGCATATTTATTTTGTTTGCCTATAGGCGCAAAATTAACTATTTATAATGTATATAATATTATAGATGCAAAATTAGATATTTTTCAACTGATTTATGTGATATATGTATAGTAAACATATTTTGCCAATACTTTAGGTGAAGATAATTATATGCTTTTTGAGAACTTAGAAAATGGATAATAGCATTCTGCAAATTTGTACAAGCTGCTACATGAATTTCATTTAAAGCATAACAAACAACTTTAAAACTCGCCATGAAATTAATATGCCAGTTTGTCCTTAGTTAATTCGAAAATACGAAATTAGTAAAGATATATCTTTCCCCCTTGAATGACATCTGCATATTGCCTCTATTCTGATAATTTTTAATATCTAATATATCTAGTAATCAACAATTTTTGAATCTATTTTGTAATTTACTTTTTTACTTTCTTTATAAGGTTCTAAAGGTACTGAAAATATTTCACTTTTTCAAGAGCTTAAAAAATTGTTATTTGCATTACCTTGTCAGCATTAATTATTGAATGAGCACATTCAGTCCTGCTGATCAGATACCTTAATTGAAATTCAGAAAATTTTTTACAGGGTTGGGAGTCAATTGTAAAACAAGTACATTTTTTCTTTCGCCTGATGTATCACTTTCGATCGGATGCGATAGAAAATTCCAAAATCTCTGTTTTTACAGAACATAAATTGTACCTATTCGCACATCTGTCTTTTACGTAAGCGGACACTGCACACTTATATTTTTAAATCTAAATTCCCCTCTGATGTTTGCTAAAATCTGTACAAATATGCAAACAATGTCTCTCACAGAACTGCTATAACTGTGTGTAAAGGTGAGTTTGATACAGTTCAGAGTTCACTATAGGAGGCTCTACGGTTCCGTGAGGCATCTGTGAGTCTTTTGTTAGCAATAAGCGCATCTCTTCTCGGAGGCAAGTAACGAGCTCTTGTTTGAGGCTCTCAAATTCCATTGGAGTCATGATTCCTGCTGAGCTGATAGGACTTGGGATATCTTGAGGAGGAATTTGTCCGCCATAGTTTGGAGGTATCCAAGCCTGATTACCTCTGAGAGACCTTATGATGTCGCGCTTGATGCTGTCTATCTGTCCGGTATTTCTAGCTGCTTCTCGCTTTCTATCTTCTCGGAGTTCATATCTTTAAAATAAATCACATTCATTTAAGTAAAATACATAAATTACTTAAAATATTTGATCACAATCAGCACACACATTTTCTAAATCAGCAGTTAATAATAGCAATAACACGACAAAAAAAGAAAACATTGAGACCAGGAGAAAAAACAAAGTTTCAAAAAGTGCGTTTACTATTACATTACAATTTACTATTATCATTGGCATGTTCACACCAGCTGTGAGTATTTATTTGCTTGCTTAGCGCTTGTATATCAGTATGTAGTATTTTGGGCGCATCTGATAGAACATCTATATTCTGAAAATATTTCGAAGTTTTTGCAATTATAATTTTTTTTGGTCTCACCAAACGCACTTTCCTCATGAAATTTAAAGCCATTGGGGCACCCAGTAAAATTCTTAGTTTTTGATTTTACTGGGTGCTGTTTACTGAAAAATAAAAACTTCTGATGTACATTGTACCTGTGTGCTTTAAAAAAATTTTCAAAAATGCAGAATAATAATACCTTCCAACTCGATTTTCCCAAATACTATTCATTTCAAATAAATCGATAAAAGCTTAATTGTTCTGTATAATAAACTTTAATACGGTTTTTGATCGGCTGGGTTAGGTTATTTCACTATGGCAAAGTACGCGATAGTTATCTGCATATGAGGATGAACGTCTTCGTGGAGGACTTTTAAATAATGGTAGAACTACCGATATTTAGCTGTCTTAACCACTCGACCTTTGGTGGGGTCTAAGATTTCTGAAAGTAATTGCATATAAATTGTTTGAAAATAAAACTAATCAAACAAATATAATACAAAAAATTCTGTTTTAGGTCAAGATTCTAGATGAGAGCATTACGTTTTGTCTTTTACGTGAGAAATAAATGGGCGAAGCCTAAAAATAAAAGTTGCGGTAACCATTTTCAAGCAATTAGAAGCTATTTTTTTGCCTCATTCACTCTCGGTTTTACAAGTAATAAATGATTTTTTATATCTGCTGTATATTATATTAGTTTTTGATTACAGTGTTCAACAGCAAAAAAAGTATCAGAGTTAAAAACAAGTAATACCTATTAATTTTGATCTGCTGAACACGAAAATAATTGTTAAAATTGTTTATTACTTCTCATTTCGAAGATCCATTGACTATCATTTATCCGCACACTAATGAAATATACCCGATATAAACGCATCCTCTCGATGTTTACCTTCGAAGGATGTTGCAATCGGCGCAAAGTATTGTATAGTACTTCTTAGTTATAAGACGTTATGAACACATTTATGAAGCACTCAAGCAAGGTACTTCATAAATGTGTTAATAACGAGGACAGTTTTTGTTATATTTGTGTTGAGGTGACTTTTGCTTCGCAGAGACGAAACCTAATTCCCATAGTTACAAAAGCTTACACTTTCTATTTGGGATGCAAAATGGGAGGTCAAGACAAGACCTAGACCCCACACATCTACTATAATACGCGCGGTTCTGGTCTGCGAAACTTCTGGTTAAATCACAAAAGATTATCGATGCTCTTTGGCGTCCCAATGGAGTGAGGAGAGCCATCAGATCATGTGAATGATTGCTATTTCTGCGTGATGCCTCTTGTAGGGCAGGAAGGGGAAACAACGAAGAAAAAGAAGTCCGCTATAATGTGCCCAAATATACTACTATCCGCTATATGACCAATAACTCCGTAGTGATGATATGCGAATTCTTAAACCGCCGGAAACTTATACCTCTGACTGAAAAAAGTACTGAAGTTTGTCATGTAATAAACGTGCCGGCAACGTCTTTGGATCCTGATTACGCACCCAGTGTTTCAACTAGACAGCCTCACATACTAATCCAAGCCAAATTAAACGATCTAGTGAGAGAATTAAATTTGTTAAAAATTAAGACGGAGCTGTTAGGGTCAAGATTAAAGCAGTAGGATCTTTTGGAAAACGGTCTGATGATAATTCATTTTCGTACTCGTCAGAAAAACTTGACGTCATTCCTCGACACTGACGGAGACTGGTTTATTTAGATATCTCGATATGAATCATAAACCGTAAGTATAGAGATTGTTCATAGATAGTTTGACATTAAGTTTAAAAGCTGTTTTGCTACGTATCGGAAACAATTTCCTGTCGATTCCTCTGAGCCACGCTGTTCGCATGAAGGAATCGTATGAAAATTTGCAGAATATCCCTCAAATACAAACTCTATAAATGGCAAGTGTGTGCAGACTTAAAAGTAGTTGCTTTTTTATTAGGGTTGCAGCAAGGATACACGGAATTCTGCTGTTTTTTGAGTGAATAGGATAGTCGAGCAAGGCTAGATCATTTAAAAAAAGGAATGGCCAACTAGACAGTCTTTGGAACCAGGGAAAAAGGACGTGCAGCATTTGCCATTGCTTAACCCAACAGAGATATTACTATCACCACTACACATAAAATTAAGGCTAATGGAGAATTTTGCGAAAACGACGGATGAAAATAGGCTCGCATTGCTATATTTTTGAGGAAAACTGCATAGGTTAAGTGAAGTAAACATAAAGGAAGGAATTTTTGTCGGGCCTTAAATCCGAAATCTCTTCAAGGACGAATGTTTTGAAAATATCCTAACAGGTGACGAGAGGAATGCTTGGATAAATTTTCGATATATAGCTACTAACTTCCTAGGAAACAAGAGGTCTGAAAACTATACCGAACTTGTGGAGGAACTGTTGCTATCATATAAGAAACTATGTTTTAACAAAATACAGCAATGCAAATTTAAATTTCATTATCTTGATTCCCACCTAGATTTTTTTCTAGGTAACTCGGTGCGATTAGCAATAAACACGGTGAACGCTTTCACCAGGATATTGCAAAAATGGAGAAAATATAGAAGGGAAAATGGAGCTTTTCCATTCTTGCTGATTATTGTTGGACACTTGTTAGAGATGCTCCAGATGCAGTGTATCACCAGTTAGCAAAACGAAGACATATTTAGTGTTAGAAGAGCACTTTCAAATAATTTTTTTATAAATAATACGTATTTAAAAAATTAATAGAAAACCGTAATTAACTTTTGAATTTCATTGTTATTTTCTTATTTAGCACCACAATTTCCGTATAAAAACTTATTTTATACCAAGGACATCGACAAAGAGTTCAAATTTGTTCTCTAGTGTTATCTATGTACTCGTAAAACTGCCGCATTTCTGTATTACTTTAGAGAATACACACGACAATATTCAACAGACTCGTGCACGTATAATATATTTGTACGTCTGAATAGACGAGGATTTATGGTAGATACTGCAAGCGAACAGTATCAGTTGATTGTCAAAGTGTAAAAATATCGGCTATATACTTTTTTTATATAAGATTTCATTTTTTTGTAAAAGGCCTTTTTTAATTATTATTTATGAATATAACAGTAGACATGAGCCTTAAATATAGCCAAACAAACATTTTTCGCCAATTCACAAAACTGCCAATGAATAGAGATATTTTGTGCGGGGTGTGGAAAATCAGAAAACACACCTGGTGAGAAAAATGACTGAGTATTCTGCTAAATATGAACTGAAAGTTGTCACTTTAGTTGAGCAGTGCTATGGATGGAACTGGTGATAATGCTATTAAATACGAGCTGAATGACAACGATGTTAATAGTGAAAGCAACACATTCCTTCAGACTTGCCTCAGGTAAAGATTTCAGAAAATTACTAGAAATTTCCAAGCAGGACACTAATATTAAGAAATTGATTAATAAAAATTAGGATTCAATGAAATAAAAATTATATTTTTTCACGTATTTAAGCTATGATATCAGTTTCGCGGAAAAATATTTGTAAGCAGTAGTAGAATTTTAGTAAAAAAATTTTCTAAAATTTCTCGGCTTATGCATAGAAAATTATAGAGATATTTTTTTGAAATAATGAAGTTATATGCAAACTTATATAACCCAAAAGATTGATAGCTTTAGATATTTAAAAAGTATGCTGATTAATTTTTTAACGTGGGAAACAATGCCTAGTTCGCCTGAAGAACAGTACTCCAGAAATTTCAAATAGAAGTGTTGTTAAATTTCAGTAATTAGATTTTCCCGATAGTATTTTAAATCTAAAGTTACTGGTCAAGAGTAAGCTTCTACATTCAACAGTAGAAACTGCCAATTTTATCCTTGGATACTTGTTATTTCGGTTTGTTTTGGTACAATATGTTGACATTTAACTGCCACTGTTTTTACTGTTGGTACAATATGTTGACATTTAACTGTCATTGTTTTTACTGTTGGTACAATATATTGACATTTAACTGTCACTGTTGACTGTAACTGTTTTTATTTAGCAACATAGTAAGATACAAGTAGTTTTAAGTAGTAAAAGATGTCACTTTATTAATTTATTTAATCAAGAGTCATTAAGAGTTATCATTCATATTTTATATGAAACAATTGCAGTAATTAATTAACGGATTGGTGATGTAGACAGATGTTTAAGAATACTGATTTTACTAACAGTGACTGGGAAATTTCAAAGACTTCATTGGTAAAGGGAGTTTGAAAATCATTTTTCTCTCTTGTTAAAAGTTTGTACTCTAAAGCAGTGGTTCTCAACCTTTTGAATAACGTTTACCATCTAAAAAAAATGAAAACCTTTAGTACCACCTCTATAAAGTACTAGTACCACCACTATAAAGTACTAGTACCACCACTATAAAGTACTAGTACCACCACCATTCTTGAACAAAGCTCAGATCGCATAAATTTACGAGTGTTAGAGAAAAAACTCAATCAGGATGTTGAGGTTTTAATTTTTTTAATTTAATAGTTAAAAATACTTTGCCTCTTTGCGTACCACCGGTTGAGAACTCCTGCTCTAAAGCGTTCTTGAGATGAAAATAAGTTCATAAGGTCTCTAGAGAAACATTCATTACCTTATGTAAAAATGATTCTGTTGTTGTTCTGTCCATGCATTTCATGGACAGAACAACAACAAAATCATTTTTACATAAGGTCCATGTATTTCATGGAAGAATTGTCCATGTATTTCATGGAAGAATGGTTGCGAGGGCCTTTAGGAGTTTGGACTTCTACATACTTCCATTCGAATTTTGAGGAAGAGCCCCCCCGAAGGTGGACCAAAGGGTCTCTCTCACCTCTCCCCTAAAGCTGCAACAGAGGACTTTCGGCTCGCCATATATTTAGGGTGCCCCCATGCCGCAGAGGCACTTTACCTTAACGGATATCTATGGCTTCTCCGGGATTTGAACCTAGGCCCTTTGGTACCACAGTAAGCTCCCTTAACCACTATATCGACTGGGCGGCTCTTAACACATGCATGCACAGATAAAATTTCTTACCTCCTCACGAAATGTTTTTTGGTTACGTTCTAAAAGAAACAGCTTTGTTTCTTTTTTAAGTTATAGAGACATTAGGCTTTTTTTTAAGCATGCGATGCCCTCGCCGAGACTCGAACCCTGAACCTCTATCATACTAATTCAGTATGTTTCCAATTACACCACGAAGGTATGCAGAAAGGAGGGAGAAAATACCTTATAAACTGTCATGGCTTGTTATGACCACAAGCCCAAATTGTTTAGTTAGGTGGGTCGGGCTATGCCTACTTCTGGTAGCTTAAAATCTGTCGTTTTTTTGTCTTTCCAAAATGAAGTACGAGAAATTTTAATTACTTCACCTTGTAATTCAAACGCATGATTCTAGACTTATAATAATCAATCAAATGTCTGGAAGAAGATGTCTGGAGTTAAGTGAGTTTTGAATATTATGCTCCTCTACCCACCACCCAGGGCTCACCAGCGGCCGAGCGGTAAAGTCGCTGAACGCTGATAGTTCGACCCGAGGTTCGAATCCCGCAAACGGGTTAGCTGCGTGGGCGTTTTCGTGATTTTCCTTATGCGTTATTCGAGACAGCCCAGCCCTCTACGAAGGCCTCCCTCAGGCAGATACCCTTAGTGTTTTTTGCCAAAATTTATCAAACCAAACCCAATATACCACGTAAATTGGTTATTTAATTACGGCAAAGCCTCGAGGGCTATCTGCCTGAGGGGAGGGATGTCTTCGTGGAGGACTTTCTAAGGGAAACTGGCTCGTATACACGTTACACATGGGGAAAACCACGAAAACACCCATGCAGCCAGCCCGTTTCGCGGAATTCGAACCTCGGACCAACTACCAGTGTTCAGCGACTTTACCACTAGGCCGCTGGTGGGCTCTGTGAAGCAAACTGAAATTTTTTCTGTTTTATATTACTTACCTCAAACTAGATATATCCTGTTTTATTTCCAGAAGGTCATCTTCATTTACTCCGTCCTGGCGAAGCTGTTTCTTAGTTTGATGAATGTAACGGCTGACCAATCTTTTCATCACATCCTGAAAAATATAACGATAATATATTCCGAAAGCTTGGTTTCTGTATCGCAATAGTTTCATAAAACTGAAAAATGTTTTTATTTTTAATAAAAGTGAGACGAAGTGTATTTCATTTCCAATTACTCTTCATAAAGAAGAGACCTTAAGTTTTCATGGAATATATATTAATGATAATCACAATTACAAATAGTTTTGTTTTCATGTTTTATGAAGTTAAATATCTGTATTTCATGTTATCATAAAGTTTTATTTGTATCAAAAACATGTAAGAACATTTTATCCACATCTCTAGTGCAAATCAATTTAGAGGTGATTTTAAAATTATTTGAAAAATTTCATAAATATTGAAACCTGGGCTTTTAACTGCTTAGAATTAATCATTTAAAAGTGACCAATGGCTTTTCTTCTTAAATGTATTTTAAATATATTTTAGCTCATCAAACTCACTTGAATTTTGACGTCGTGCCGACAGTAAAATGAACATTACTTGAACTTGCTTTCAAAATGCTTTTTCGTCAGCTAAAGCTAGAATGGGCATTGAAAACTGCCAGAAAAGACTCTTCTTATTTAAATGTTTGCTCTTTCTCTTTTTGTAAATAACTGTTACTTAAAGTAGTATTTATTTTCCTGTGATTGTGGATGCAAGTTTTAGGTTAGGTAATTTGATTATGGCAAAGCACACGAGATTTATCTGCCTATGGAAGGGATGCCTTCACGAAAGACTTTCTAAGGAAAACTAACCCGTATTTATATTACACATGGGGGAAATCTTGAAAAGGCCCATGCAGCCAGCGAGTTCACCTGGGATCGAGCTCGTGTCGAGCTTCCAGCGTTCAACTTTCTTAGCCACTTGGCCAATGGTGGGGTCAATGCCAGTTTTAGAGAAAAGCTTTTCCAACGTTATGAAAAGAAAGACATGAACCTGATATTTAGTTAAGCAGTCAAATATTCCTGATTAAGTTCATAGATCCGGTACGTAATTCATTATTTTTCTGAATGAATGCTTTTGTTCTTCTTTTCTTAAGATGTATGCAAGAATAATAGACAATACAATATCCTCTGAAGGTTGAAGTTTAGATACTAACTTCAAATTATTGGTGAAGAGGCTTCATACTAGCGTTTGAGAAGATAATTTCTGATTTTAATTCCCGATTTTAATTACTATGAAGCTCAATCGAAAAAAAAAAAAACATTTATATTGCTTGTGTGTGTATGTTTATATCTATGTAAGAATATTACGCTAAAATCACTAGAGGTGCACGGTTCATTAACGGCCGAAATGTAAAGTCGCTGACCAGGGGTTTGATCCGGGTTCAAATCCCAGCAAAGGAGCTGGTTGTATGGGTGTTTTGTTGTTTTCCTTGCTTGTAACTGGGATAAGATCCAACACCCTTAAGAAAGGACACCCACAAAGGCATCCCTTTCCTTAAGCAGATAACCCTCGAGTATTTTGCCATAATTATACAGGACAAACGCTTCAGGTGTATAAAAGCGACGCAAAAGACTCTTGAAGATACAAAGAAAATTTTAATCATAAAATAAGCTACAGACTTCATTACATAAAAAAGTTCCCTTCCAAATATGCATCTTTCGCTTTGTCAGATAGCCACTGTGTTTTTTTTGCCATATTCCGACAACCAAACAGCCATAACACGCGCAAAAAATGAGTACAAGTCAGTTGGCCCATGAAATATAGGAGAGTTAAAAGTAAACCAGCATTTGGGGCATTTCGAAATTCGTGTGTAATTTTTGACTGCACTGAAACTTAGCCAATTAATAGCCTATTGTAGACCAGAAGCCTCACCGATAATATCAACAGTAGAATAATACATATTACGTGAGTTTATATATGATATATGCATACATTTTACAAAGTAAGCTAGAGAAATGAAAATTTTTCCAAGAGATAAAGTATAAAAAAGATATATAGCTATCTACGATACTGCACTGTATTCACCTGTCTCAAATTAAAGTAATCAGCTTATAAGATAAATTTCTTGCATCAACTTTGTCCTATAGGTTACAGAACACTGCAGATGTTATGAGTTTTATTACACTAAACATAAAAAAATGGAAAGTTTTCTACAGATAAAATTTTGAAAAATCTGCAGTCTATGACAAGAAATTCAACATTTTCTTCAAATGGTATTAATTTTGCTTCTTCTTGCACAATTAGACGCACTTCGTATATTATTATATGAACTATTATGCTAACTGAGTTTTGCCATGTAACTTAGTAATATATGAAACATGATGAAACTAACAAAAACTAAGAAATATCACGCTTTATGACAATGACTACATTTATATATTTGATTAATTGTATAGGCGGAGATGACAGGAGCATTCCTACTGCAGGTTTTAAGCATATATTTACAACATTTGGGCTTATCCCAGTATTAACAGCAGAAGATGGTTGCGCAAATATTTCAAAAGCACAATATGTACTAGAACTAAACTTTTGGCTTGCTTGTGTATTTATTTATATTTCATTCATTTCCAGTGGCGTCATCAAACAGTGGCGTAGCTAGAACTTTTACCGCCCGGGATCGGGGTTGTCCTTCAGTTTAAGGTATAATGATATCTGTGTTTCACCTGATCTACAGCTATTAGAGAGGACCTTGGCCGCCTCTCTCTCTGTAAACATATAACTACAAAAAAGAGTCAAAAAATCATATAGGGAAATAAATTCAAACTCGACGTTTATTTCTGAAGAAAAACTTTAGTTCTAACATTTAAAAATTACATTATTATTTTGCTTGTTTTTTGGCTTGAGAAACCATCAGTGACAGTGTGGAGACCTATTTGATTGCCCTTGCTGTAATGTTAACAATAGAGACAGATTTCTTACTTTTATTTGGAAAACGTTTCTCAGAACTAGAAGCACTTATAACCAATGAAAGGTAAACTGTCAGTAGTAGTATTAGAATATCTGAAACTTTATTCTGGAGATCGTATTACAGAATAAACTGCTATGACCGCCCTTAACGTTCCTGTTTCTAGCAATAATGGAAATAAACCCTAGCAATAATGGATTCCATTATTTCCCTGGCAATAATGAAAATAAAGCTCAGAAATTCTTCTTTCTTAACGAGAAATTCTCATTTATGAATGCCACTCTGATCATTGTTTAGTCGTTATTCGTAATTTGCATTCAAAAGTTTCAACGGAATTAAAAAACAACCTATAGCAAAAGTGTAGTTGTGAGCTCACATGGTGATTTCTTTGAACACTTTTTATAAAGTAAAAACTCCTTTCTTCTCAGTTTAATTCCGCATGGAAATTTGTAATCTAATTATTCTTCACTTGCCTCGACGATCCACCTAACTCCTATAAAATCATGTTTCACGCAAAAAATGCAGCCCCTAAAAATGTGCCGTCTGAGGCGGACCGCCCTCCCCTTCTAGTTACGCCACTGCATATAAAGTTAGTAAGTGTCTGTGTGCTAATAGGTTGACGAATTTTAGAATTTATAGTACATTTATGTGCTCTAAATTTTCAAAAGATGTTTTAGTATATTTATTGTAAAATATCCTTTAAATAAGAAGCGAAACCGCATACTTCAAACTCAGTTAATTCAAAGGTCAATAGTAATTATTCAATAATTGATTTCGTTATTTAAATAAGCAGCTGTTTCATTCGAATAGATATAAAATATAATGAAAAGTGACCATAAGATAAGACTACGTTTAGCAAGTTCACGAAGTTTAGCATACGAAGAAACTAGTTTAAATTAAGAGTGTTTCATTAGCTTCACCTTCCCCTCCACCGAGTAACGCTACGTAAGACAACTCAGATCTTTAGATGGTGGCTCCATCTAGGAACCGAAAAATTAATACTCGAGATTCTATTCCAAGTTTTCTCCCATAGCTACTCAAAAACTTCCGAATTCTGCGTACTGTATTCGCTACAAAACGTGCAACTAAAAATACTGCGTGTCGAGTACCGGCGTATTTAAGCTGGAAATGCAAAGGCCTTAAGGCAGTTGCAATTAATAAATGTTATGATTGTTTTATTAAATGATCACGAAACATTTGAATCTTTACTAAAACCCTTTACTCTTGTGTGAAAAAGTCTCATTAATGTGTTAAGTCTAGGTTATAAATTATATTAAATGCTACCTATCTTCTTATGTATGCTTAAATAAAAATTTGGTTTATTCTGCTAAGGCATACTTCATGACACAATGCAACAGCTTGATAAGTGAACGTAGAATGTTATATGTATTCTTTATTCTTTATTAAATTTGATGTTCGGTGTTGGTTAAAAAGTTTGTCTCTTAAATAAATCGCTTTCCCGGTATAGCTTCTAGACGTCTGCTTTCTTAACCTCGACACAAATCTTCCACCTCTCAACAATTTGTGTAGACTAGTGAAATTAGTTGTATAGAAAGTATGGAGTCAAATGTAGTTAGTTACATTTGGAAAGCTGGTTACAAAATGCAAGGTTGGATTTTGGTGCCCAAGACATGTTTTCTGCCCCCCCCCCCGCAAGAAATATACCACACACGCACATACACACAGACAGACCCCCACAAAAAAAGTTAAAAATAAAATAATAATAATAATAAAAAAATAAGTAAATGTTACTGGGTTAGTTAAAAAGTTAAAAAAAGAATTTTCCTAATAAAGCAAAACAATAAATTTTAATTTTTATTCTAATGGAAAGAAAAATACATAGAAATGTATAATTTTATCTTATTCTAAATATTGCAAAGTCTGATTATAATCATGTTTCATGCTTTCAGCTCCGCAAAACTGCCAGTTTTCCTCATAATTAATATTTCTCAAAGCATTTAGCTCGCAGTGGGATATTCAGCTGAAAGCATGGCAAAGATTTATAAAACCATTACAAACGTATATACACATATAGAAAAACGAAATCAAAAGAACCTCAGACTTTTAGATAAAAAAATCTCCATAAATCTCTTATTGAAGTCTTTGTTAATAAGTAATCTATAACTCATCTCTGTTTTTGTGACATCATAGTCTTGATACTTTAATTAATTACATTACACTTGGAAAACAAAACAAAACAAAAAAAAAATGATAATTGATTACAGTCTGCAAATGAGTTGGTATTTGATTGCAGTTTCTGAACATAAAACACATTTTTTGGTAATGAATTTCTAACAGTCCCTGAACGGTCCACCAGCAGTCGAGCGGTAAATTCGCTGAGCACTGGGAGTTCCTACCTGGGACTATTCCAGGCGAACGGGCTGGTTGCATAGGCGTTTTCGTGTTTTTCAACGTGTTTAAGGTATATTACAAGTCAGTTTCTCTTAAAAGTCCTCCTTCAAGGCATTCCTCTCTTTACGCAGATAACCCTTGTGTGCTTTGCCGTAATCAACTAAACTAAACCAAACCAGTCCGTGACCGCTAATTTCACCAGCAAATAGAATTGTAGCAAGTACTTTATTTTTACAGCAATGATGACAAGCAACACGAAATTCAAAATGTTCCACAATTATATAAATACTGTTGTAAAAAGATTTTCCTTTTATTTCTTCTAGCTTCGATATTAATTTTACAATGATTTTAATATACCTAGTGAACTAATATTCTATAAAGCAAACATAATTAATTATGTCAAGCTTTAAAAAACTGAGTATACAAACATATTTCTATTAAATACATATGTATTTATTTAATTTTATGACCTTAAACGATTATTTGATCAATGAACCAATATTAACCATCAAAATCATCAAGATATCTAAATTTCTCTTTGTCTTGCAACTGTCAATAAAGAATTAAATTTTATTTGCATTTTTTTATAATGTAGTAATTTACAAAGTATGGATATTAACGGATTGCGAGCGATGTACATACGAAAAAAATCTGTTGCCTAGAAATTAGTGAATATATTACTGACCACTTTTATACCGAATTATTATGATTCTCCATATTTACAAACATATTATTTAAGGAGCAGAAGGCTAATGATGCTTATAAATTTCTTCAAAATGCACTGATCTGAGCAATCGTTTTTGAAAATTGACCCAAATATCTAATTCATTTGCACATAACATTGCAAATAAATGTATTAAAGAGCTAACTATGTAATGGGACGAGTCACATTTTATAACGTTGGGACCTCATTTTGAAAGGCTTAAGTAAAAAAAGAAGCTAAATTAGGATTATTAAACGTAACTTCTTGATTAAAAGCAGGGCCCGATTAAGATAGTTTGGGGGGGGGCTAGGAATAGATGTCTTTCAGTAGCTCCCAATGCTCACTTTCCTTGCTTTCATTAAAGAAAAACAAGATTATGAGAACTTGCAGGATGGTTTTAAGGTTTCCTTGTTTGGAGCCCTAGACCAATGCCTTATGTGCCTAACCAATAATTAGGCTGTGGTGAGAAGCTTTATAAAAGCACCAAAACTTAGATGGTTTATATGGAATAATAATATTGGAAAACAAGGAGAAACTTACGGTATGTTAAGGTTAGCAATTGCAATTAAGTTAGAGACCGAAAGGCGTTTAATAACAGGAAGTTCACAACTCATAGAACAGAAAGAAAGCTTACAAATGGATACTGAAATTACAGTGTTTTGCTGTTCAGAATCCAAAGCAATACTTACAGTAACAAATTATGCGGGATGCATTCCCAGATCTTTAAATTCAGAAAAAAGGCACTTCAAGGTTGGTTAAAATATTATTACAAAAGCATATATTTTTATGACTGAGTCATAAAGAGCTCTACTATTGATATGCATCTCATCATTTTTAATAAACTCCCCGAGAAAATCCACTTGTTTAAACAAATTTAATTTGGCTTTCAAAATATTTATACTGTAAAATCTACAAAAAATGTGTATATTTATGTTATAAAATTTTTTATTTTAGGGAACAAAATATTAATAAAAGGCCAGAGCTTGATAAATCGGAAAACCTAAGATGTGTAGTAAAAAACAGTATCTCTACTAATCATTTATATAATTTTCTTTTCTAAACTGGACCGTATTATTTTTCCTATTAAATTGTACTAAATTACAACTAGTCTTAAAATATGTCTCTAAATTTTTATCAACTTTTTAAATTAAATTAAAAAAGTTGATAAAAATTTCAAAAACACGTTTTATTTTTATAGTAAAAAAACTGAAATCCATTTAAAATTTTGATTGCCTATATAGAAATAAGCATGATTTTAATATCATGTGATAGTATTTCAAGTAAAGTAAATAACTACTTTGTAACATTTTAAATCCTAGGGCTTTAAAGTTTTTAGGATTCTAAAGGAATACAAGTCCAATACTGGATCTTCAATACATACCTGATAATTTATATCACTCGGTCGGAAATTAAAGCCCATATGAGGATTTCCATTCTGTCGATGAGGCTAAAAATAATTTTTTCAAATTTAATTTTTAAAAATGGAATATTTGAAGTATCTAAAATATGTACATATATTATCGAAAAATATAAATTAATTTTATTATTGATTGCAATGCGAAAATTACGTAATAATATATATATATATATATGCACGTAAGAAGGCAGATTTTCATCAAAAAGTCTAAAGTTATTAATTAAGGAAGTTTCGGACTTTTCCGGTTTTCTTTTTGCCTTAGCATAACGAAAGTTAAAATGGAGCAGCTCAAGCATTTAGTAAATTATAATGATCTGAGGGTTTGATATTTATAATTGAAGAAGACAATTTATGTTTTCTTCTGAAAGGTAACTGGTGTTTTTATATTAAAATCTGGGTGAATTATATTTTGAATTTTATAAACTATCAAACAGCAAAATTAAAAAAAAAAAAAAAAAAAAAAAAAAAAAAATGTTATAAACTAGTACAGACAGAGTAAATGCAAAACAACAACAACAAAAAAAAAAAAAATTACTTTAGGAACGGATGGGGGTGGGCGGATGAACGAAACCACGATTGCATTACTTTGAAAACAACATTTCTTTTGCGACAATGTTTACCTTTATTATAATAAGTTATTTTGTTTCTGCCTCCTCTTCTTGCAGTTTTAAGTGACTGAAAAGTAGCTAGACAGAACATTTAAGCAGTGGAATAAATTTTTTGTGTTTCATTTGGAATAATTCGGGCATACGTTAAGACGAAAAATATCAAAGCTTAAGGTGACATCTCAATTACTTAGTTATACTACACAGGTATATAACCAATTACGTAATTAATTTAGATGAAAATTTCAGATATATAATATTTCAGATTTTATACATTATATATATTACAGATTTTATACATTACATACATAGTAATATTTTCTTTCAAAGATATTTGAATTAACTGGCAAATTTTTAAGGTATTTCTCCTGCCTTCTTAGCATGCCTTCATAGTGTAGTGGTCAGCACATTCGGCGCGTATGCGGGAGGCCCGTGGTTCGAGTCCCGGCTAGGGCATTACTCATTTTTCATCTTTCCTGTTTTAAAAAACCCGAATAGCTCTACAGTGGCACCCGAAACTAAAAAGGTGGTGAATGATGATTCTCTACCACCAGGATTTGGCGATTGCGTCCCCTAATCCCCAGTCGCCCTTTAAAAGAGGGAGTGTATAAGGTATTTCTCCCGCCTTTCTTAGCTTGCCTTCATGGCGTAGTGGTCAGCACGTTCGGCGCGTATTCCTGAGGTCCGTGGTTCGAGTCCCGACGAGGACATTGCTAATTTTTCATGTCTCCTGCTTCGAAAATAACCTAATTTGTCTACAAATAAACTAGTTTGACATACACATTGAGACATTACTATCGTACTATAACATCACATAGAATTTTAAGATGTTATTCAGTTATTATGAAGTATGCTTACTCCATTTACGAAACTGCCGATCTTTGAACAATTATTAATTTAAGGCATCGAAGTATTTAATATTTTGAGTTAACAATAGTAAAATTTATAATTTTTTAATTAAATCTAATTTTATATTTTAGAAGTCTGCTTTACTAATTAACTTTAGATTAGTTTGTCTTGCAGCCCTATTGTAATAGACTGCATATTTACATTTGAGTGCTAAGCAATAGCTCTTAGTTTTGAAAGTTATCAAGTTTGAGAATTGTGAGAAAGTATAGAAAGTTTCAAAAATAGAGAGTGAAATATAAATCAAGCAGCAGTACAAATAAGGTAAATTTGTGTTGCTGGTATATTTCACTCTAGATCAAGATGAAATGTTGCCAGCTGAAGAAAGTGAATTTTAGCTGCTTTGAGAATACTTACTATATAGTCAATTATATTATGTTTCACAAGTTCATTAGAGAAACTGTTGGAAATAATGTCTCGTATTTTAAAAAAGTTAATTCAGGTTTAGTGGGGTTAAAAATGCTTATTCCAGATGTAAATTGTAACTTTCTTTCAAATTTAGAAATTTTTGCATTCAAAATTCTAAGAAAGTTCTAATATATTCCACTAATGGAAACCGGTGAAAACCAAAGAGCCGAAAGACTAGAAACAACGCGAAAATGAAAAAAACATTAAGCAAGCACGGATGGATGAATAAAGAAAGACACGAAAAATAAATCCATTAAGAAAGCATCTGGGGCAAGAAAACTAAAACACAGTGGATTCTCGGACGCTGAACGCCTCTCTTCGCGAACAAATTATCTGAACAAGAAACGTCTCGAATAACGAACAGTGTCTCAAGTTACAAACACTCAAGTTGAAGAAATAAAGATTTTTCAAAGGTGTTTTGAACTAAACATTGTAGAGTGGTCTTATTTTTGAGAGCATTGACCAACTGAAATGTAGACCCTACTGAAGACGAGAGAGCGAATTCTCGATATGTCTTGAAAAACAGATGACTGCCGACGAAGATTCACCACTTGTGGCCTAAACACAAAACAGTATATACAATCAGGATGAAGCAAATTTTAACTACCCGACTGACCCCCTACTTTAACCTAAATCGATTTGTCGACTGAACACAGGTAAACCGAGTCTACACTATCAATATAATTACTAAAGTAAGTGGCTAGCACAAATATTCAGCTACAGCCCTACTTGCAAACAAAGAAGCGGCATAAATCTCACTCGCGGCATAAACTCGTTCTCGGAGTAACCCGCTCTACTCGTAACTAACTCTTCTGCGAGCTCTTCAATTCTACTAACTTAAATACTATTTCCGAACTCATTGATTTTGCATATATGTCATTTAAATCTGACTTCTGGCAGGAAATTGAAATCAAAAGGGTAAAGGAAAGTTTCTTAGAAAGAACTTATTAATACAAAATAAGGTTTTTACAATGTGACACAGAATTAATCCTCAGGGCATTCTGGAGGCATAATTTTAATAATTTCCGTTGCTTAATTCTCCTGAACAAAGTAAGGCAGCAAGGGACTTGAAGATTATGAATTCGGCTTAGGGGAAATTATGGTCAGATTGGGTTGCAGACGAAGACTCTGAGGACTTTGATACTTTGCAGGCTTCTGTTTATCTATGACATAGTATCTCTAGGTAAATTATTTAGTTGACAATGAATACGTGGAAGATATACTAGCTCAATATGAGCTCAGTATGAGAGTGAGCTCAATATGAAATGAGCTGAGCTAAATATGAAAGAAGGAGAAACAAAAAGAGTGAAATAGGAGGAACAAGAAGAAGGAAAATATTGATCCTAGTCCTTTAATCAGCGAAATTGGTGCGGAATGGGGTTAGAAGCAATGCTTTCATGCAATGATATCATTCTGGGAAAAGAGTAGCTACAATGCAAGCGTTTTCAAGTAAGGATACCATGCCCCCCTGTAGAAATATTTTAAAACTTAGCAACAAGAAATCAACAAATTATATTGGTCCAATTTTAAGAGAAATAGAGGTTCAGTGAATCCGAAGCAGAGTAAAGTCGCTAAGACCAAGAATAGACGGACGAAGATGCCTCAAAGACAGTTATCTGATGTTTTTTTTTTATAGAAGTGGACTGAAATCCCTTCACATTCCCGTCACCGTCACTTTCCACTTATAGCGCCCAATCTTCTTCGGGACATGTACAATAACTAAATTAAATTTTCGTCTGTTTTATCTGTCTGTTTCGGCTTTATATTTTTTTCGTCTTAAAATGCTGTTGTAAATTTTAAATAAGCATTCGTCTATGATTTCGGACGACTTAATCCATTTTATTAACTCCTATGGGTAAAATAATTTCGGTTTGCGAACATTTCGGATGATGATTTAAACACCCCCTTTTCCTGTTACGGGCATTAGCATCACTGATGAGTGGCTTCTCAATTGCAGCACGGCCAGCAATTCCCTGTTTATGAAGCTCCCTTCTAATTGTTTTGGTACTCACAGGGTTCGGTAACACAACATTCATTTCAGCAGTAACTTTTGCAGCTGTGGTCTTCTTATTTTTCGTCACAATTGCCCTTAATGATCGTCTGTCACGACCACTCAGGACACACTTTCGTCCGCGCTGTGATTTAGCAGATGATGTTTTTCCGCTTTTCAAATATGCGGAATAAATCTTCGATACAGTACCCCTTGAAACACTAAACACCTCGGCTACCTTGCTTACGGAAGCACCTATTTTTGCCCACGTTCGTTTGCCACGAACGTGGGCAAATTGTTGGAGTGGCCACGTTTGCCACTCCAACAATTTTGCCCACGTTCGAAGTCTGTTAACTCTGACATAATGCAATGACAACCTCACATAACAGTACTCCGACAACAACTGAACTGTTTAGCACATTTACGAAGTTGTATAGGTGGCGTCAGTAGTCAAAAACGCCAGCGCCACCTACATATTTTCATTAAAATCAATCTTTCTTTTCAAACATGCATTTCACAAGGTGTTTCCATATTTTTGTCCATCCTCTGTATATTTTAATCCTACCATCATTTAGATTATTACTCGTATATTAACTGCGAAATCATTGATAATGATTATTTGTAATTCCTAATAATTTAAGTTATTAGGATTCAGCTAAAAATCATAAAAGAATATCGTATTTTTTACTTCCAGTTTATGCCATTTCGACTATATTTCGGCGCTTCGTAAAATTTTTGTTTTGAGAAATAAATATTGACTTCAGAACGATGACAGAAAAATATCTTGTTTTGTATAAAACCAGAGGAAAAATATTTAACCATTAATTTATTTTTTATTCACAGTCTCTCTGGATTACGAAGAAATTTGTAAAATTATTTTAGAGACTTTACTCATGGTGACATAAAAAAGGTAATAGAGAATATTATAATGTAAATAGATAATGTTTATATAGAAAAATTATGCTGTTACACGAAGAGAATGTTTAGTAATTAAACTCTTCGTGACACGAGAAAACTAATCGATAATCATAAATTATGTATTAGTGAGCATAGCTAATTTTGAGTCTTATTAAATTTTTCAAAGTAGTTTGCTGCCTTGTTTTTTTTTATTAAACATTGTTTTTCATTCCCTAAAAATGTACGTGAATAGGAACCATGCTTTAAGGATTGTAATTGATTGTAACTGAACCATGCTTTAAGGATTGTAACTGATTGTAACTGAACCATGCTTTAAGGATTGTAACTGATTGTAACTGAACCATGCTTTAAGGATTAGGATTTAGTAATAAAATATTGTTACGTGCGTGCAGGTTCATAATGGATTGAATGCACGCAGAACCAAGATTAACTTGATAATTTTTTTTTTAACCAAACGAAACATTTTTCAGTTCTAGAACTTATACAGATCTTCTTAGTCTGACAGAGCATAATCAGTAGTTACCACTTCAAACTACTGTGTTAAACACAATAAAAAGCGTATCTAAAGAGCGAAGCTCGCACGGAGATCTTTCAGTACTCTGAGATTCTGACCTAAAAAACTGAGAACTGATGCTCTCTCCGGTCTTATATATAGTTTCTCCCCGTCCTTTGGGAAATTCCCAATACTTTCCATTTCTCGAAATTAAAGGAAGGCATATACAGTTAAAGTTACATATAAGGTCCTAATACAGTTACAGTTATATATAGAGATCAATTACAGTTATTCAGGTACAGTACCAATTACAGTTATACAGGGACCAGACCGAAATTTCGCCAAAAAGTTGCCAAGTTTGGCGACTTTTGGAGATTTATCGCAAAATTGGCGACAAAAGTTGCTCAACTTAGCGATCATTGTCAGCTTGGCGATATCTTGCCAATTTAGCCCAAGCAATCTTATTTTTCTGGCGGAGCTTTGCATTCTTCAGACTTTTCATGTCATATTATACAAAATTCGTAAAATATATTGTTTCATATAACTTTCCAATGCCGGAATATTTGATATTTTGTGCATGTAGAATATGCCGAGAATATCCTTATCACGCATTTCATTTTCTGCCTAATTGCTTCTTTTAATTTAGACATATGACACTTTTTTCGCAATTTATTAGATATTAATTATTTCTCTGAAATTTCTGTTTAAGTGTTTGCTTAAGTAATTTAGGGTGATTTTGAAAGACAATGAAGTTTGAAGCAGTAATATTCAATAACAGTTATACTTTTTCTAAGTCTATTAAGTCATGACTTCATATAATGCTCACTTGATATAAAGAGCTGACTTGTCCTAGTTTGAAACAGTTCTTTAACCAAACAAACAGATCACCAAGCCCAACTAGTTATTATATAAGTTTGTTTAAAGAAAGAAATGTCAACGTTGGTAGTGAATTTATAACAAATTTGTTGACCTATAAATTTGACAATTTTCACTCTTTTCCCACGGAAGTTAAGAACGTTTTACATTATGAGACACACAGAGGTTTATGGTGATGTTTAAACAACTGCAGTTTATTTCCTGCATATTAAAACCATCTTAAAGTTTCACTGACACCTCTTGTGTTAATTAGTTGAAACACTTTTGTTCTTCTTCATTGTAGAGTCTACACTAGAGGCCGCCTTAACCTATGTACATATGATTCACATATATTTCTGTAAATATAATGTTATGAGCAGTATTTATGTACTACATATGATTTACGTAGTACATGGTTATTAGCAATTTACTCAATTTTCGCTTTATTGGCAATTATCGTTAAAAATGTTTTGCATTTAGATTGATAAATAGAGCTTTCTCGTAGTACATCGAGCTTTAGAATTGATATTAATAACGAACAAAGGATATTATTAGTTTTTGGATATTGTGCATTAAACCTGATTTTATTAAGAAGATATTTTAGATGCAAATCGCTTTAAACGCAAGAACTTCCACTTTGTAAAGCAACGTTTGGGCAAGAATTTAGCTTTCATATACTATAAAAGGTCTAATAATTTATTTCAGTGTTATCAACAATAATTAACCAAGAAATGAAAAAAGGCATCATTTAGACACAAGAACATATATGTGGATCGATAAATGTATGCAATAATTCAAATTATCAAAAAATTGCTTCAATTTAAATTGTAAAATTAAGCATGGTTGCTGCAAGAAAAGTAATTTTTCACGAATGTTCATTAAAGGCTTACCTTTCGGCCTGGTGGACTGCCTATATAGTTTGCATTTTGATTTTCAGGCTAGATAAAAAAGAATCCAATTTTTTTAACATAATGAAGATTATTACATTTCAGCAACAAAGGTTTTTCTCAACTTTTAAAATGAAACTACTTCTGTTCATTGATTAATATCTATATATATAGATATTAATTGAAAAAGAAAATGTAAAGCGAACTGGTAATTAGACGTAAGACCTATCTGGTCTCAAAAACTTTTGCGCATAATGCTGCAAAAAGATTTGAAAGAATAGTAGTAGGTAGGAACATTACAGCAACCTTGCTAAAAAGTTACCAGGAGCTGTAGCTCCACGAAATGTTGTAACATAGTACTACATAAACAATAAGAAATTTGCCTGGTAAAACTGGAAAAACTGTATAAGCGCGATAAAACTGCCAAATTTTAGTGCTGGAAGACTTGCAGCAATAATAAATAATAATAAATAATAAATTAAAACGTTTTTACTTACTAAATTGAATACATTTTTTTACTTACAATGTCGATTACATTTTTATCTGTTTACAGCACCTTTCTTCTAATAAAAGTTACGAAGTCTTTAAGGTCTAAAGGACCAGCTCGTACGTTGATGTGTATTTTGACTAATAGCAGACCGTTATTTATTTTAATTTATTATTTTTCTACTTTGATTTTGACTTTTATTTTACATCGCTCGGAATCATAATAGCCTTTGACACCTTAATGCGTTTTTCAGCGGACGCGTCGGGAAAAAGAGACAGAGCAGTGGAGCTACTAAAAAGGATTTATTCCAAAAGAATTTTTCGGAAATACTAATATACTTTTGTAAAAAGTTTTTTTCGCATTAAACAAGAGCTTCAATGGTCTGTTTCGGCGAAACGCGTAATGGTATTTAGCCTATTTCGTAGAACAGTTTTTTTCCCTTGAAAAGCCAACTGAGAGTACGAGTAGGCTAATATACCATTTTTCCGCTATTTAATTATTGTTTTTGTAGCTAGTTTTTGATGCTTTTTGTGTCTTTATTATATTTTTTAATTTTGATTTTAATTTTTATGTATTGGCATATTATATATTGGCAATTTTAATTTTAATTTTTTATGTATAGGCATTTTATATATTGACATTTATAATCCATGTTTTTTGTAACTTCCTAATATATATATATATATATATATTTTCCGTCCATCTATTTTTCATGTGAGTTAACTTTTCACATTACACAACGGTCAGATTAATTAGTTTTTTTCGTGCAATAGCAAGTCTTCCAGCACTAAAATTTGGCAGTTTTATCGCGCTTATACAGTTTTTCCAGTTTTACCAGGCAAATTTCTTATTGTTTATGTAGTACTATGTTACAACATTTCATGGAGCTACAGCTCTTGGTAACTTTTTAGCAAGGTTGCTGCAATGTTCCTACCTGCTACTATTCTTTCAAATCTTTTTGCAGCATTATGCGCAAAAGTTTTTGAGACCAGATAGGTCTTACGTCTAATTACCCGTTCGCTTTACATTTTCTTTTTCAATATATATAGATATATATATATATAATTGATTAATATATATAATTCATTTATATATATATGTAACGCAATTTCCTTGATTCTTTTACTAGTAAACTAACAAATGCAAAAGAAAAGAGCATTCAATAAACTGTACGAAAGTGAACGCAATGCGGATGAGAATTTTACTTTGCGCTTAAATGTTATTGAGTAAGAGATGCAATTATAATTATATATTATGCAATTATAATTAATTATAATGTTATTTATTTGCGTTTTGCTTGTAAGTCAAATTTCCTACCTAAACTTAAATGCATATAGTAATCGATGCAAATTTTCAGTTCTGTATAAATGAAACTCATTAAAATTATCACAAGTTACATCTTTGAAATTGTATGTACCATTTTCACTTCTTTTAATATAATCTGTGATGATAGTGAAATGTGTTTCACGAAACAGAGCTCTAATACCTCATAAAAAATAACGCATTCTTTATTTACGTTAACGCAAAATGCAGACGAAGATGTAATAAAGTGTAAAATTAAATAATGCAAATAAAGTGTAAAATTGTCTCCCTTTGCCTTAAAAGCTTAAGTCTCTAAATTCTTGTAAAAGGAATAAAACGCTGGCATGATAAAAAGGAGGTATTTAAAGTTCTAAAAATTACTTCTCTTTTTCTTAAATGTTATAAATTTCGTTTATTATAACTTACATTTGTAAACTCAATAACGTGTACATTTCCTGCACTAATAATAAGATTAATATAATTCAGCAGTAAATTCTCTTTAAATTTGTATTTTGGTAACTGACAATTGCTGATACAAACTAACTGAATGAAATGATTGCATTTAAGAAGTACTACGAGAATAATTGAGTCATTGTACATATTAAAATTCGTTCTATTTCTCCACGCGTAACAGTAATTCTAAATTCTCAACTGGAAGACAGCAACCGTAGTTATTGAACCTATAGAATTCCGAACTGTATCTGCTTGACAGAAATATTCTCTCTAAATTGCGCAGACCAATACCGGTTTCTAAAATAAGATTGCCTAGGTGCTTACACTCACCGTTCACGGAACCGATTGTAGTCATCTACATACAGCGGAGAAAGCCGATTCACTTTGATCAACTGTGTAGAATATAATAAATACTTTAGACATGTTAGATTCAGTGAATATAAGGGACAAAAACCATACGGAACAGCACGATATAGAGCAGCATTTTGCAACATCATGTTGAAGCTGTAAGGGATGTTAGACGCAGTATTTCTCTGCATGCTGTGGGCTTATCTCCTGTTAGGGCCTGCTTCTAATAAAATCAGACTCTGCTGTCCTTCAATACGGCTGAAATCACATTTTATTTGGCAAAGTTACACATTTATAATTATATATTTTAATCTTCCTCAGGCGAAGCCAAACCTAAATTCTTGTGACGAGGTTTTAATATCATCTTATCGGGGGGAAGAAGTTTGATTGTCTATATCAGATATCGGGCCTCACGGAAACATAAATATCGTAAGAAATGTTGAAACATTCTTTTCAAGGACAATGCTGCATACTTTAGCAGTGAAATGTGATTTCATTTTGATCATTCGTTGGCTTCCACAATGGCGTAAGGTGGCACACATAATGGTAAGAGCACGCCTCACTTTTTACCTATGAATTGCATTCACTTAGCACTTTCACATTTACATAATGCATTCTGATACTATGATAACAGCAAACTGCAGCCTCTGCAAAACTTAGAGACTCGTAAAGCATCAATCCGTGTACCCATGACTTCCTCTTTTCAAACTTAATTAAAGGGTATTGTTTCAACCTTTATTGCATTCATTGCGCAAAACCTAAGGTACTATGCCTACTTATTATTAATATAAAAGTACTTAGCCTTTTTTTTTTGCAAATATGCTTGATGTGTTAAACTATTTCTATGATTTTGGGTCTTGAGTGTCATCACTGTTATTACACTCATGTCCATAAATTAAGGATAATGCAAAATCAGGCAAAGGAAGAGTTAGAAGCAAAACAAATTTGACTTATTTGTAAAGCTTATTTATTAAACAAAAGGTAAAGAGCAAAAAAAGATGCTATATGTTTGATATTATTAAAAAAAATAGCGATTTTTTCTCCCTGGAGCAAATTACAAAAAAACCTATTTACAAAAAACCAATATTACATGGTTGGTATTATTGTTAATACAATTGTATGTCTCCCAGACGATGCAATGCAGTCCGTACAACGCCTAGGCATGCTGAGTATCAAATTATCGATCTGATCTTGGGGGATATTACACCACTCAAAAAGCAATGCTCTCCGAAGTTCCGGTAGACATGTAGGAGCAGGTTGACGGTTTGCAACTCGTCGGCCAAGCATGTCCCACACGTGCTCTACTGGATTCAAGTCCGGTGAAAATGCTGGGCAGTCCATACGGGTGATATCCTCCGATTGAAGGCATTCGCATACGATGTTTGCACGGTGAGGACGGGCATTGTCATCCATAAACAAAAATTGTTCGCCCATGGCGCCCCGAAACAAACGTACATGTTGTTCCAGAATGACGTCCCGATAGAGTTGGCTTGTCATGGTTCCAATTTGAACGTGCAGGTCAGTTCTGGAACCCAGAATAATTCCACTCCATACGAGCACTCGTGCAGCACCGTTCAATGATGTTTTCTTAGTGGTAACGGGTACCTGGAGCTCTCCATATGAAAGTCCGGCGAGAATCAGACTGTAAGCTAAACCTGGACTCGTCGGAAAACATCACACAAGCCCACTGTTGCGGTTCCACAATGCATGCTCTGTACTCCAGGCTAACCGCAGGCGACAGTGAGTTGCAGTAACTGGAACGCATCTGACAGGTCTACGAGCGTATAGACCAATCTGCCCTAAGCGTCTGTGCACGGTCTGCCTTGAAATTGTCGTACCAGTGGCTAAAGAGAGCTGACGAGACAGGTCTGAGGCTATGCTTCACCTATTTCTTTTGGCAGAAACTGCGAAATACCGGTTCTCATTCGGCGTTGTAACTCTGGGGCGACCTGTGCTGTAACGTCTACTCACATTACCATCATCTTGGAATCGTTGCCAAAGCCTGGAGATGACACTCTGGGCAATTCCAAGTTCGTCTGATACTTCCAGTTGGGTACGCCGATATTCCAGACGGCCGATAATTCTACCAAGTAAAAATCATCCAAATGCGTCCTTTGTGTCATAACTATTCGTTTATCGCACTGAAATGCTTATAAAGCGCCTGCGAACAATTTTACTTCTTTGCCTGTATTCCTTATATATCACTCTCTTACACTCTCGTCATTGTGACGTACCATCGGTGTCATCTGGTTACTTCCTGAAATTTGCATATGATTCTTGAAAATGTGTGTAGTGATTTTACAGGTGATATATTTATTTTAGATTTCGATTTCCGCGTGACTCCGAATTATCCTTAATTTATGGACATGAGTGTATTTGCTGAATACAGCTGGCCCTCTGCCCAGTTGAAGCGAAATAATTCACTTATATCTTCCGATTACCAACCTAATTATGAAAAAGTAAACTGAATTTCCTAAATAATTTTTTATCATTTGTTTGTATAAGACAATAGTGAGTAAAATAAAATACTTGATGAAAAAATGTTAGGAATCCAATTGATTAACTCGGGCCTCTGGCAAGCAGTGTTGCTTTTATGACATTAAAGAGCTGGATGTTCCTGTTGCAAATTGTGGTATGAGTGCATTATAACGCATATGTTTAACCATTAAAGTTACTATTACTGAGCGAAATTCGGTATCACTATGAAAAATTAAAGCGAATATCTATCTAATCTGGAATATTAAATAATTGCTGCCCTAAGTTTCATAGATTGTGTATGTATGTATCATAGATTACAACAAACATACAAATCCATTAATTTTACCTTCTGAAAACCAGATGTTCAAATGATCATTCTGTAGTCACTTTTCGTTTTTTCTTTATAACATTTAAACTGAGGTTTCTCTTAGAAAAGGAGTATTTACTTCCTAGAAAAACAGACGATTAGGTTGATTCAGTAACTAATGAATAGCGAGGGGAGAAAGTACGGATGTTATTCAAAGGGTGTGTTAGAGTTTTATCTTTAAGAAGATAAGAAGATTTTGCCAGTAATTAACGGTAATTCGCAGTAACAAGGCATATCTTTAAGCTAATAAATGAACATTCTAGGTTTTAATCGTAGAATAATTGTTTTTCTTCTCTGATTAGGAGGGTTAATTATTAGAAAAGCTGTCATTAGGGTCTCGGAGACGGGGATGTAGAGTATTCCCCAAAGGGCTTGGATACTTCTTTGAAATTAACATTTGGGTATTATGTTGGTTCTTAGGAAAAATTGAATATTTTGGGATACATCGGGTGTTAATATTATCCGATAATTCTGTCTGTGTGTAATCATATTTTTGAATTTGGATTTATAAACTTATATGTATTTAACGGTTGCTATGCAAAGATATAGAGTCACTGGACATACTTAACTATTTAAAAAATTGCTTTTGTTACTTAACAGGCTTCCACATTTTCAAATCCATGTTTGCTTCATTATTTGTATCATTTTTAGATCCTTTTCACAATTCTATGTAATATAATATCTAGTATACATTAATTTTCTTCTAACGAAAACAGAGAGTAGTCGAAGTTTTATGAAGATGTAAATTACCAAAAGAAATGAGGCTATTTGGTAAATGCTATAAAATAAAAGGAATATACTCAAACTAAAACCAAGCTTTAATTTCAACTGCTCCGTATCACCCGAAGTATTTCTCAGGTGAAATCAGCAACAGCCAATTATTAATAGAAATTATTGTAGGCAACGTTTCCAATTTTGGCATGAAATAAGCACTTTTAGGTTCCCATGTAATAAAATTTTTACGCATGAAATTTTAATAATTGCAGTTTTTCAGGGATCAGGAGATGCAGTAAATCCTGGTCACTGCCGAGTTAATTACTGAACAGCAGTCTTTTCATACAGCTAGAATAAATACTAACTTATTTCTTATGGCAAAATAATAGAAGAATCATAGTAAATTACTCTTTTTTAAAATATATATGTTTGTAATAATTGCAATTTTTTACTGACTGGGTATTACGCTAGGACTGAAGCAAATTTTGGTCATTACGGAGTTAATTATTGGTTAACATTCTTTATGGTTCAAATAGAAAAAAATAGGGATTTATTTTTTACGATAAAATATTTTAATTACATTTTTTTTTTAAATCTCGTAATTTGAGCAAAATGGTAAAGAAATTAATTTTGGACGCAAATGGAAATTTATTTCGTATGTGAGACTTACTCGCTGTCACTGAGTAGGTCCTCTACGAAATATTTACTGCTTCATCATCCACTATGTATGAAAGTACTATGAATGAAAGTACTTAGAAGTATATTTTTCTAAAACATATTGAATATATATATATTTAATTCCCATTGTCCCTCACTTAGACCAACGCTTCCTCTCTCGAGTCATAATTTGTGACCAATACAGAACCAGTCTTTATCATAAACAGCATAGTAACTGAACAGCATAGTAATTCCGTACGAAAAGAACTAGGAGGGATGTCATCTTCGCGGTGTATAGTGTATAGTAACTGAGTTTTTCTGTTGCATTTTGCGTATTTTTAGCATTATTTTTCAATGAAATAATATTTTTACCTAACCGAGCCATCAAATATGAATCATTCATATCTTCTTGAAAGCATGTGTTACTATTCTCCAAATTTTTAAACACATTGGTAGTCGTTTATCTGCATAAATATTTATTTTTCACTTCTTTTCTTTAAAAGCTCTTCTATTTTCTTTGCTTCAGAATTTTCTTTTATTTCTATGTAGAGTACTATTTTAAGGCCCTTCACACTGTACTGTACGTTGTTGGATAGTCGTTTCTGTTCAGTACCCAGTGTCTGAAATTGAATATTCATAGCCACTTACAGATATAATTTAAAAAATTACTTTGTAGTTAAGCTTTAAAAAGTCATAGGAAAAAGTCTGTATATTGCAGGATTATGACGGATAAAATGTTGAGAATAAATACTATTCCAAGTGACTTTTAAATAGCTATCAAAAATATAAGTACAGGTAGAAGTAATCTTGCACCCACTTTTAGTAACTGAATTAGTTTAAAGATGGGGAAAGATAGCTGAAACTTAACAAATTTTGCAAAGATCTTTGAAAAATGCGTAAACATCAAGGTTAATAATTAAACAACATCAAGGCAATGCTATTTTGCAGTTATTTAATATATAGGCTGGGAATTGTTTTTAATATTAAATTGAAACTTAATAAATATACGAAATGGCAAAGAAGGAGTTGGCCGGGAATAAGTATTTGAGTAGAAGTTAGATCGGCATTAAGTTACCATAAATTACCCTGGAAAATGAGTGACAAGGAATCACATAAGTTGAACTTATAATATTAAAATCAGTAATACTCCGTAAACTTCACTCACTTCCCTAAGAATAACATTTCGTAAGAGTCAAACAACTTCTTACGGACATATACAGAATATCCTTTAAAACATATAATGTGAAGGGTATAAATGTATAAACACAAGCAACATTGTCTATAGAACACTGAAATATGTTTGTTAAAGTTCCGCTTGGGGTTTCAACGGAGGACTGTCATGTTACATTACTTTTACCCATTGAGCTATCCAGAGTCAACAGTAGGTCGGCATAATATCTTGAGATGGAACTTGAAACTGATCTTTATGGTATGAGTTGTAAACATATTGCTAATCCGATCGAGTGCGCATTTCACACATTTGGTAAAATTATTTATAGTTACTTTGTAGAGGTTACTTTAAGTTTCTAACAGTTATTTTATGTTTAAACATGCTTTACTGTCTATTCTCGTTTCCCCATCTACTATTCCCTACCAGAATGAGTTTTTACTATCGCGTTTTATGGAAATAGTTAGAAGATGCATTTAAGAAAGTTCAACTTACTTAGAGAAAGAGTGCTTAGGAGTCCTTAGTGGCGCGTGTTTGCCTTCTGGCTACCTTATACACGAATATACTGCGCTCGGCCGTAGTGTACGTGTCCTGCTGATAATCGCCAGCTAGGTTAAATTAAGGGCCAACTAAGCTAAGTATTTGTGTCTAGCTTCGAATAAGTCTATTTAGTTTAGAATTAGATAAATTTCTTATTTTCTTATCCTGATTTAAAAGCCGGAGTGGAGGCTTTCCTGTAAGCGCTAGAAGGGGCCACCCGTTATTATTTCTTTGAGTGAATAAAAGGGCATTTTAACCCTTCTTGAGACTGTCGTAAGTACTTGAACTCAGCGACGATTCGCTACGCAGTTCACTAGGTTCCTCAACATTTGAACAAAGTGCTGAGGAACATTACAACTTCACAGATCAGGAATATAGTACATTGCTCTGCCCCAATATAAATGTACGTACAGTGAGAAATGAAATATCAGCATCATAAGATTATTTAAAACTTAAAGTTGTTATATGATTTGATTTGCATTAGTTTGGACACAATATAATAAGAGTAAAAGAAATATTAAATTTTCACACTTCAGTTATCTTGAAATGTAAAATAAATATAAAAAAAGTTGTTAAAATACTCGTACTCAAGACACGAAACTGCTCATTAAATAAAGAAGAGTTATTCATGAGATGAAATCCGATTGATATTTCCTATGATGTTGAAGAGCTAGCTACTCTAGAAGTTAAATATCATACATATTGAATAATGAAGAAAACGTATAACTTTAGTAAACTATTAAGATGTATAGAAATTGACAATATGCTAGAAAAAGAATATGAGTGTGTTAAATTTTCTGAGATTAAAATTAATAGAAATAAAAGTATAAAAACTTACTTTTACCGAGCTTCTATCGAAATGCTGTTTTCTGCAGATGTTGGCGATGTGAGGACATAGGTGACATAGGACGCGCTTTGTTCCCATCAGAAAATAACAGATTGCTTTGGGTGAGATGATTAGATTGAAGGGAGGGGGCAATGTCGATCCCTCATCGAAATATCCCATCCATAGTTTAGATCGGGCAAATTTCCACTCTCTGTCAGCATGATCCTAAGATTTGTCAAGTATGCAAGCCATGAGAAGGAAAAGAAACAAAAATAAACTCATTAAATTTCTTTCTTTTCAAGCTGTCATTAACACTATGTCGTTAACCTTACTAACGGTAAAGGCATGGGTGAAGTAAAGTTCTAACAAATTATTTTAACTTGATGTTATATAACACATGCAAATAAATACTTTATCTCCCCATGACCAACTACGTGAAGATAATTTAAATATTCACAAGACAGCTACAATGTTCAGTTAATTTTACAAACAAACAATACCAAAATATATTTCATAAAAACACATGCAATTATTTCGAAATTTCAAAAACATGCATGCAAATATTTCAGAAATTGACAATATACATGCAGATGATTAATGGTGTTCGCAAATAGATACATTTGATTCTACAGCATGTGGTACTATGTATGTTGGTACTATGTAGGGTACTAATTAAAAGAAAAAAGCATTGTAGGCATGCTCAGGCAGAAGGTCCATGTTCTTACATCAAGGTAAACATTACTTAACAATTTACATTGACATTCAACTTATTATATTAAAATCCTAACTCATTCTGAAGGAACGTATAGTGGTGGTACTTAATATTTTATTTTCAGTTCTTATATTCAGTTTAACTCTTGAGAGATAGGTAAAACAAGCTGTAATTTGTATTACTTTTTTGTTCGCTAACTGATAAAAGGTCTTAATTTTAGATGAAAAGTTAAACAAATATTCAGCGACATACTGAAAAACCTTTTTAAAACGCATAACACCAATCACTCATATCTCTTTAAAATTGGTTGCGGGGGAAAAAAGAAAATATGAAGCAGCAGAAAACTTTCTCATGGTTTAAAAATCCCTTTTAAGTTGAGCAGTGCTATTTTGTTTTGTTAAGTGTGTGTATTTAATTATGGAAAAGCACACTAGGACTATCTGCCTAAGGGGAGGGATGCCTTCGTGGAGGACTTTCTAAGGGAAACTGGCGCATACACGTTACACATGGGGAAAACCACGAAAACACCCATGCAGCCAGCCCGTTCACGGGGATTCGAACCTCGGACCGAACTACCAGTGTTCAGCGACTTTACCGCTCGGCCGCTGGTGGGCTGTTTTGTTAAGAGACAATGTGGTCGAACAAATAAACGACAATCAGCACAAATATTTTGAATTAATTTACTTTTGTGAAAACTGCACTCACAGAGTATAAATGAAAGATACCATATATATGAAAATATTTTCCTCCTCAAAACTGCTTTGATTGAGGGTCTTATATATTTGGAACCTTTGGAATGGAGCTCCGTGCTTGGAATCGCTGGAATGTTAAAGTAATTCTGAAAGTTATATGCATCCTGCATATCAAGTCATCAACAATCCAACATACCGAAGTAAGATTCTACTTTAAGCCAAAGCTGATAAACATTTCGATTAAAATGTGTGATAAATATTAATAACATCTGTTATTAATAATTAGGAAACCGCTTAAATTCGTAAAGATTTAAGTGAGATGCATTATTAGGAATAATTCGCATCTCCTACCTCTCACTTCACAGCGACTAATGAACATTTCTGCACTGATAGGTCAGACGCATCATTTTAAAGCACATATCTTTGTTTCTCGTTTATGTTTATCCTCCAAGAAATAATGAGTTTATTCGTCAAATATGAGCTGACATTAAATGAACTTTTATCAATGATTTTAAATATAATGTATACTGTATTTTCTCCTCCTTCCAGCATGCCTTCGTGGTGTACCGGTTGCACACTCGACAGTTATTTCAGAGGTCCAGGTTTGAGTCCCAGCGTGGGCACTGCACATTTTTCACATCTTCTGCTTTAAACAAACAAACAAACAAACAAACAAACAAACAAAAAAAAAAAAAAAAAAAAAAAAAAAAAAAAAAGTAATGACTCTGCAAATGGAGCCCGAAGTAAAAGGTGGTAGACAATAATTTGTCATCACCAAGATTTGGCGATTAAGTCCCCTAATAACCAGTCGTCCTTTAAAAGGGGGGTTATATAAGGTATTTTCTCCTCCTTTCAGCATGCCTCCGTGGTGTAGTGGTAGCACACTCGGCTCGTATTCGAGAGGTTCATGTTTGAGTCCCGGCGAGGGCATTGCACATTTTTTATATATAATGATTCTACAAATATACTTCTTGAAACGCTTCAGAACAAATTCTGATCTGTTACTGAAATTTTTCAGCTTCTTTCTGTTGACGACTGATCGTTTCCATTAGCAAATTTTCTCAAACTATATGAAATCTGAAATTGTAGATGTAAAACATAAATTAAAGTTATTAATACTATCTTTAGCCAATGCGCAGTATTCGTTGGCTTATGTCGTGTCTTATATCGTTGGCTCTGCAGATTTGCGCAAATGTCATCTCATAAATTCGTCAGCAATATTCCAATCCATTAATCGCCCAAGTTAGGAGGATCATTAAAAGTATGATGAATATTTAGATACGAGCAAGAAATTTCAAAATTCTACTAGTCAGGTCCGTATATTTTAAAACTACAAATACTGCCTATGTTTAAGACATTGTCTTGGTTTTTAGCAACATCTGTGGCAGAAAATAAATTTTTCACATCTTAATAATCTCTGCTACAGTAGAACAACAATCAGGTACTGCTATTATGTACTTTAATATGAAAGAGTGAACATTTGCATTCAATATTTAGTCTGGAATGAATGTTCAGTGTGGAATGAATGAATGCTGTGTGAATAAATTAGTCGAAACTGCTATTGATGTTTTTCTTTCTGCTTTTAGGGTCTTTTTTAGTTTTCTCAGCACAAGCCTTCTTGCGTAATATGTCGTACATGTCTTTTTAAGTTTTTCCACTTTTATTCTCTTTAAATTTCTCTTCGCTTGGTAATAAGGATGGTCTTCATTTGAGTATTTTATAATAGTTTATCTTATAAGTGTATCCGCATTATTAGTCGTTAAGTATTTTTGTCTCAGCTATTGTGGTACGCTGTCCGTGTATAATTCTGAAATGAATTTTCCAATCAATGCTCCACTACAATAGTATGATAGATACTGGTATAAAAAACCGATTTGTTATCGACAACTATCTTTCTATACACAGCCGCATGCAAAGAAGTGGAGAGAAATTTATGTGCTGATGCGAGAATATGAATTTGTACTATTCATGTTTGTTTGACCTGAAAATAATAACAGAATCTTAAAAATCTAATTCTCTTCATGAAAAGTAATATATTAAAGTATCATCAAATCATTTTCATAATATTGAATAATATTAGCAGAAGCTGTTCTGAATATTTTTGCATTATTAAATTTTTTGCGAGGATAAAAAAAGAAAATTATTAAATCGATTCTAGGTAATCTTATCTTTTCAGTATTCAAATCGCTTTTTACTTCAGCTGCTAATTTTTTAATGGACATGATTTTATTTATGAATTACACTTGAGTAAATTATTATAAAACGTTTTTCCTTGCCTTGATAAACATTATTTCTTTTCTACTTAAGTTTCGGTATTCGTTTGACTTTAATTTAATTATGTTGATCTTGAATAAAGATTCAGTTAGAAAAGAAATTTTTTTTTCGAAAAAGTGAGGTATCTTATTTATTGTAACAAGTTTTGATTAATCAAATTTTTACATCAGTATTTGCAGTATTAATGTACAAACCATGAAGCGTGGTAAAAGGTTTCAGATTGCAAACAAACTAAATAACATATTCTTTGATGAAAATTGTTGTATGAAAAAGTTACCCTTCAGATGTTCAGGTCTTTAAATGAGAAAAATGTGCATTTTGATTTGGTTTCTGAAACTTCTTCAGAGACCTTGATCCACGCTCAAGAATGCTTTGTCCGTTGAATACACAAATGAAGCATCGCATGCAAATTAACCACTCATCATCCCTTCATGCTTTGGGTGAAGAGCGAAAATAAAGATCATGGCAAGTGAGAGAATAAAATCGAAGCTGATTTAAAAAAAAATTCCCCTACCTCAATGACTTGAAAAGATTTGGTCATCATAGCAATGAGCATGTTAATGAGTACGACGATGGCAGTCACATGATATGACATAAAGAGACCTTGACCCACAGTTTCAATAAAGAAGTCATCCTCCACCAAATCTGTGCTCTTAGGTGAACTTATGCCAAACAGAGACCAGAACAGAGTCGCAAATGTATTTCCGATCCTGAAGTGAAACAATTACACCGAAATACAGTTGGCTTGCTATCGCACTAGAAAACACTGGAAAACATTATATACATCGTACACCTAATACATCAGAGGGCATTTATTTTTATAAATACCATGCATGCAGTTTTTGATGAAGTGCATATGGCGGTTATATTAAAATATGAAGTGTTAAATCTTGATTATTTTTCGAGGAAAAATAGTAAAGCATTTCTTGTTATTCGAAGGCATGCCCAAATAAAATTTTACTGAAATGGCCAAATAAAATTTTTGAGATAAAACAGAAAATGAGCGAATATAAAATATACTAAACGCATATACAAAAGTTAGAAAGATATTTATACAAATTTAAATGATTATATGTCACTGCAGGTTGCGAAGTTATTTATTAGCTAACAAATTTCTGTTTTTCAAAATCCCAAAATTTGGAAAATAGATAGTTTTTTTTGGCATGAAGTGATAAAAAACATTATTCAAATGACCATAAAAAGTGATGGAACTAATTTAAAGAAGTTTTCTTGTAAGATTTATTTTACATAATAAGTAATCTTTATGTTAATACTTTTAGATACCTTCAGTTTCTTTCGACAGCCATCCCCAGAATGCAAAAGAGGTAAAACAGCAATAAAGTTTGTAGTCTCGAAATAGAGCTGTAGTAACCAGTTAGTAAACCTGTACACTCTGAGAAGCTCATCTGTATCCCACCTGCGTGTAGGGTGAGTGAATTTCGTAGAAGACTGGAGTCTACGTTAGCTGAGGTTCACTTCTTTGTTATCAGAGTAACTCCTAGATATATGCGAAGACATATTCATCGGATGAAATGAGATTTTAACCTCAGCTCTGTTCTTCACATACGTCATGTGTAAGAAAAGTTACGCGATTAAACTCAGGATGAGGCTAACGCCCAGGAGCCTGACCATACGTGACGTGACGTGACTTGATCTTTGAAAGTTAGCTTCTGTGTTCTGCGTTTTATAATAATTGAATTATTGAGATCCCACACGTAGCAGTGCTAATATGATTTAAATCTTAATTATACTACAAGTCAAAGTTTTTAATAAATGTTTTAGATAAGATTTAACTTTTGCCTATGCTACTGAATTGGTTTTGATTTACTGAGAAGATGAAAAATTTCCAGAGAAGGGGAATGTTAAATAGACGTGGTTGAATGCCATAATGTTGAATAATATTACGTTAATTATGTACCGTCTGTTCTCAATGATATTTAAAATTTTTTTTAAGAGAACATTTTCCGTAGTAGGAGTTTCTTAATTAAACTTTTATGTTCTCATCTTTGCTGTTTTTGATTTATTCAAAGAGGAAGTTTAATATACTACATTTAATCTATTGCCACTTGTGCTTAATAAATATGCAACAGCTTCTCAATAAATTTACGAAAGAATGTGCTGAAATTTGTAAATACTGTAGAATCTCTGTTAATCGGCGGCAACAGAACCTTGCCGTTTCCGAATAAGAGATTTTTCTGAATTATTGAATGTATTCTTCTTTAACTTGCTTGTGTTTTGTGAGGCTCCCTGAAGAAATATCAGCATAAGAAGTCCATTGGTTGTCTTTTATTGAATAACGGTCAAAATAAAATAAAAAATAACAAAAATTGTGCAGATTATTTAAAATTAAAACACGTACAGTTTTTGTTTATTTCATAAAAACAGAATTTAAACATTTTATAATTACTATATATATCATCGCATGAAATTTATGAATGTTTTAATATGATGGGATATAACTTGCAAAGCGACAATTTTGAAAGAAATGTCCACCTTATAAGATTGTCGCTTTAACTTAAAATTCGCTGTGTGTACAATAAAATTTCATTACATCAGGTGCTGCCACAAATGAACATTTCTCAGCAAATCTTATGAACGGCTGCAACTTCGTTAACTTTCTTCCATGTAACTTTCTTGATCTGTGTGTCATCTTTATCTTCTTCATCCCATTCATCATCATCTTTTTCCAACAGAATTGTTTATACCCGACCAAGCACGTAGATCATTTTCACTAATACTAATTCTCTGAATTATGTAACTAGACTCAAGATGTTGTCACGAGCGCCGAACATATTTTAAAACCAAGAGAATCTTCGTCACGCCATCTTTATCTTTTTTAAGCTAGAATAGAGATTTTATTCTGTGATATGCATATATATTTCTAAAGATAATGTAATTTACCATGGTTATTTTTAAGTCCTTGATGCTTGATTCAATGATGGATTAAGATATAATTAGTTTTTTTTACCATTATATCTTAATTTACTCATTATATCTTAATTTACATTATATTTTAATGCTCATCTTAATTTGTATTATAATTTAATATTAATCATAATTAATATATCATAATATAATATTATATTATAATTTTAGTTAATTAATTTTTTACCATTTATTATATCTTAATTCATACTATATTTTTAGCACTTATTATATATTACTTATATTTTAATGGCTTTATATTTTTATGCCTCAAAGTTTCTTAGCGGGTAAATTTATATCTGCAAATGAATATTGACATTTATCTTACTTTTAAAAGATAATTTACGAAAGAAATAAACAAATAATATATATATATATATATATATATATAATTACATTTTCAAGCATGAAGATAAAAAAAATATACAAAACTTCGTCATTTGATAACGAGTAACAAGGACAAAATTAATATTATATATAAAGTCAATCCCTGATTAACTGGGAGCGGATTAACCGGACCTAGTATAAAAAATTAAGTTTGTTTATTGCTGAACAATGTAAAAATCACTGTCACAAACCATAAAAAAAAATCAAAATTGCTGCAAGAAGTACAAAAAGGAGAACAAAATGAGTGGGATAACAGAAATTATGGCACCGGATGTCACCGTGTTTAGGAAATGTTTTTTTCCATAAGAATAGCTAATTTAATTGTACATAATTTGAAATATATAAACATTGTTAAATCACACGTCAAATTACATTGCAAAATTTTCAAAACAAACGAACAGGCATTTATGGAAATAAAAGATAAATACACATAAAATTTCTTTTTCCTGTTTTGATATGCATTCTTCTTCTTTTAAATGTTCACTTAATCTACAAAATCAGATGAATTTATTCTCCTTATTAAACTGCTTGAAAAAAAAAGTAAATTGTTAATAGCATTTTTTGTTAATTAAAATATGGGTTATCTCTCTTTCCTGCATAATTTTTAACTGCTCTCGAATTACCTGTGATTTTGGACTACTGATAGACATCATTGAGTTAATCAGGAGATTATTGTATATATAGAGTATTAAAATTAGAGGTTACTGCTAGTATTTTAAAAAAGCCAAATAACGATGTTTAAAATATATGCTTTCTTTGAATGTAAAATAGATCCTTTAAAGATAATTTATTCCATATTTGTTTTCGCCTGCAATTAGAATTATTTAAAATAATGAAATGTATGAAGAAGCAGGACAGGACAGGACTAAGTGTGGGAAGCACCAACACATCGCCATTTGCAGAACTGGTGTCGCTCCTTCACACTAACCGTCTTGAGATGAACACCTCCACAAGGCGTACTTACGCCAGGCATCGGTGTTAATTGAAGCGGCATAGAGAACTTGTGGTACGGGAGATACAGTTGCTGATGACAATGACATTACAAATACAATACCATACATTACAGTTGATGGTGAAATTATAAATATAAATCTATGTACACAAGTGAACACAAATAAACAAAAAGAAATGAATGGAAAACATTAAACATTATTATCTTGGCAGTTATTGTGATATTAATGTGATGTTATTGGGACAGTGTAGCAGTTCATAGATGGTTCACAGTTCATTGACAGTTCATGAATTGGGTCAGAGTTCATACATACAGTAGAATTCACCAGTTCCAGTTATGCCATTTTTAATGTGCATAACTGTGGTCGTATTGTATGAAGAAGCAGAAAATTCTCCCACGATGTTTTGTACCACGAGCGTTTTCGTCTTGTGTTGTTTTCTCCGCGACGATTTCGTCAGCGATATTTTCGGCGGATACCCATCTAAGATAATATAATAACTGAATAAATCGTTAAATACCAAGAGAATAGATGCTCTTTTACTCCAGTTATTTTATCTGGTAGTTACATCGTCTACAGAATTCGTATAAATTCCGTAAGCTAATGCTTCCGTGAAAAGGCAATATAATTCAGAAGGCAAATCATTACTTGCCATAGCAAAGAACTCAGAAATTTTCTCTTAATTATCTATTGAAACTTATGCTTTTAAATAAGAATTATTATTTCGAAAAAAAAAATCAAAATGTGCGTTTCGGAAAAAATATAATTTTTTTCCTATTAAAATTACACATCTCCTTCCCTCTATACAATGTTGCTTAAATGCCCTTATTTTTATGCTAGCCAAAAGAAGTTAAATAAGCAATCAAAGCATTTAGATTAGCTTTTTTACAAACGTATTGCGTAAGGAAACCTTATCATGGAAAAAATCCTTCTTCAAATTTATTAATCTTTTATCAAATTACTATAATATCTCCATAGTACACAAATATAAACTGGAATGCATGCGGTGCTGAAACGAAAAACGTATGAATAATTTACTGCAATGCTAATGCTTGTGACTTTATTTTTATAGTTTAAGTAACTCATTTAAATCATTAGCTGACATGCAAAGCTTAATCTATATTGTTTTTTTATACAGTACTTATCAGGGTATTTAAAACACTACACGGGAGTTTTAACTCATGCATTATTACTTTATAACGAACATATTTGTAAAAAATCTGTAAAACCTCTGAATGCTGGCATTGCTACCTGGCTTTAAAGCTTGATAAATGGGAGGGATGACAAGCGTTTTCGATGTTTCCTCATGTGTAACATAACTACAAAACAGTTTCCTTAAGAAAGTCCTCCACGAAGGCATCTATCCCTTAGACATATAAGTCCTTGAGCACATTGTCTTAATCAGGTAATTTAACCTAGCTTTGTAAAAGTTCTGCTATTCTTCTGAA